TTCCCCAAATGTGGGAAAATCAACTGCCTAAGTGGGGGGCTGGGTTTATGGTTTCCCCTGGTCTTTCTAGAATCACCCTTCCCCCTTTGGTCCTTGGCTGTTTTCACTGCCTGCTGCCATAGGCCTGTTGGCCTTGCTGGTTTTCCAGGTGGGCTGCAGGAAGCAGATCCTGGAAAGCTAGCAGTGCAGAATGGTGAGGTCCAAACAGCAAGCAGTCTCTGGAGGCTTCTGGGTGGTGGCGGCTGAACCCTTTTTTACTGTATTTACTCCATAAGACGCACATAGTTTCTCCCCCTCTATTTGGGGGGGGGGAAGTGCATCTTATGGAGCGAAAAATACGGTAGTTATAACTTTGTAAATGTTATAAAATGGAAACTACCATGTTTACCCGAAAATAAGACAGGGTCTTATATTAATTTTTTTGCTCCAAAAATGCATTAGGGCTGATTTTCAGGGGATGTTTTATTTTTTTTTTCATGTACAACAATGTACATTTATTCAAAAACAGTCATGTTATCTTCTTCTGGTTGCTGCACAATGCTGGGAGGTGGGGTTTCTTAACTAGGGCTTATTTTGGGGGTAGGGCTTATATTACAAACTTCCTAAAAAATCATACAGGGCTTATTTGCAGGTTAGGTCTTATTTTCGGGGAAACAGGGTACACAAAGCACTACTGAATGCCATCAGGGATGGAGGAGTGGATTCAGTGAAGCACCACATGAGTGGGAACATCTCAGATGGTTGGCACACAAAAGTTTCCATGGCATTTCCAGTTAAAAAGGATGTGGGGTAACAGGAATAGGCAAAGAGCCTTCCTCTGAATCTCTGGAGAGTTGCTGTTGGTCAGAGGAAATAATGCCAAGCTAAGTAGATCAATGGTTGGAATGAGTATAAGGAATGTTTGCATGTCTGTCTCTGTGTGTAGGTATATACACACATTCAAAGGAAATCAAGATACTGTAAAGCATAGTAGGTCAAAAGGAAAGGAATTCTTGAGTTTCCTCTTTCCCTGACAGTCATTTTTTTTTGTTCTTTATACCTTAAAATATTTCAAGTGTACCAAGCAAGGTAATATAAGAACATAGGATCGCTGGTAGTTTCACCTCCTTCTCATTGGCAAAGAAAACCAAAGCTTTTTATGAATTCCCACATAACTTCTGGGATTTTTCCCCCCTATGCGAAGGGCGAGGAGAAGGATGAAGGGTACATGGTTTGTCAGATGGATTAAATCAAGAGGGACGGTAACCTGGCACAATGCCTCATGTACAATTATCAAGAAATATGACCCCATGGAAATTCTTACACATGGAAGCCTCGAACAATGAAAGGATTTAGGATTATATAAATCACAATGGTCTGTAGTATAATCACATGAGAGAACAAACCGGTAAAGCTTATTATATTGAATACCCAGATGGAGAACAACAGTTGTTGCTGTACTAAGAATTACCACTCTTGTAATCAATAACAGGAAAAAAGAACAGTTGGGCAACTTGTTTCTTATTATGTTCACTTAGCCAACGTCTAGATCAATAAAGAGCATTAAGTCTCATACCACTCTTGGCTGTGCATACTCAATTTGCCTAGCGTATGCTAGGGAGGGATTTGGTTCCACATTCACATTCTTAAACAGAGAAGCATGCCGTTTACTTGGAAAGTCATCATTTAAATGCCAGAGGTGGTCTTGTTGGTGGTTGTTTTTTTTTACAGTGTAACAAAAATTGCAAAATGACTAGAACACAATACATTTTCCCAATCATTATAGCACAGCTTTATATATATAAATGTTAAAACTTGTCTTTAAGAAAAATATAACCAGAATAATATATGCTACTCTGTCTACAGATGCCAGCTAGATCATCCTCATGCTGAAATGTCACCTAATATCACCTAGATGTCACCTACATCATCTAGGTTGTACAAAGAGGTGATCTGCAATATGTTACTCCCCATTCACCTTTATACTACCTGTGATACCAAGGCACCTCAAAACCTAAATGTTTCTTGCTCATCTCCTTGCTGTACACAGAAGTAACAAGAAAGGGAACGATCCCAGCTGAAATCCACAAGGGCACAAGAATCAGGTAAAAGCTAATCAGGCAAAATAAAACCACATCTGGGCATTACTTGTGATGGACAGTGACAGGCAGAATCCAACGGACCCAAGGATGACTCTCACTGTGCGCGAAGCTATGAATCAGCAGTATTGAAACTTCACCCGCTCTCTTTCTGTATCAATTAACAAAGCTTTATCAAGGTGATTTGGGGGTGGTTCGAGTTCAGTTTCTCATATGGCAGGAACTTGGAACTTCCTGTACAAAGGAGATATTCCACACAACAGGGACACTGTTTTGTCCTATGACATCTTCTATTTTTTGGGAACTGCTTTCTATTAGGGGCATCACCCATCTGAAGAAATCTGTGCTGATTAATCTTGTGTTTTAGTTTAGACTTCAACTGACCAAATCTGTATGCAAATTTGTATATGGCTAGAAAACAACAGTACAGTACTTAGACAAGGAGTATACAGTATATATCCATTTTTAGATGATATATGTATCATTTAAACTAAGGAAGGAACATCTTCAAAGAAACTTACTTGTTTGAGAAGAAAGAGGAAGACCTTTTTAAAAACGTATCACCTACATACAGACACATGTACTTTTTTATTTTTAAAGAAACTGCTGCCCAATTAATAGGGGGAATATTTTTAATCAAAGTTTTTAATCAACTAATCCAACTGCTAAACTAAGCAAATGCTTCAGCCCTACTTTGAAATTTTAAAAGCAGTTGTAAAATAACCTAGTGCACTACAAAATAATGATAATTAATTTAAAGAGTTTAAATGGTAAATCATTGAAGTGCTATATAAACAAGCACATAAAAACAGTTCCTCTTACTTTAGTAGATCGCATCCACATGACAGAGTGAGTTCCCGTCGCTTGTCCCAGCTCCTGCCAACTTAGCAGTTTGAAAGCATGTAAATGCAAGTAGATAAATAGGTATCACCTCGGTGGGAAGGTAACGGAATTCCATGTCTAGTCATGCTGGCCACATGACCATGGAAACTGCCTACAGACAAGCGCTGGCTCTATAGCTTAGAGAAAGGGATGAGCACTGGGCCCTAGAGTCAGACGCAATTGGACTAAATGTCAAGGGGAATCTTTACCTTTTACAGTGGAAATAAATAAATAGATAAATAAATAAATAATAAATACATGTGTATGCTTTTTAAAAAGATAATGTTGATCCTCCTCTAATCTGCTAACATTAATTTAGCATAAATAAGTCCCTGAAGACATTTTTTACTTAATAATCATATTGAGATCTTGACTAAATTAGTGACATCTATTAAATAAAGTGCTCCTTAGGAATGTGATAATTGTACTAGAATATATTGATTCAGATTTTATTAACTCTGTTCCTAATGTAAAATGCAGCTATTGCCAAAGCCAACACTGCTTCATAGTTCCACAGCCCCAGAGAAATATTTCATGTAGATAATCAGTATAATTATATATTGGGGAAAGTGGCCATTTCCACATAAGGTCACATTAAAACTAGTCAGATGAGGGTGAAAACCTCTTACATTGTAACTGTATCACTTGAGCACTAGAAGTATTTGAAGGTCTCTTGCTGAGACACAGAAACACAGTCCGTTTATTGCAGCATTAATCATACATACAATACTTCCAGTAAAACCAAGCACAGAAAAGAATGATGAATTCCTACCAATTCCAATAAAGATTGCTTTGTAATCATCTTCCTTCAAGGCACTGAGTGTCAAATCTTCCACTGAAAGGCTTCTGCCACAAATTATCTGTAAGATAATATTTGGAAGCTCATTGTAACTTTTATCAGTCACATTTAAGCCCGTGTTATTCACAGGTGTTGTGCTAGTCATCCAGTCAATTGTTTAAAAACATAAAATGTCATTTAGGGCCAAAAGAAAAGGATTGTTTTGACCCTAGAAACAAATCTGGGCCAGATGGACCAGTGAACGTATTATAAAAACAGCTTAAAGTAAGTTAATTCAAAGTATACCCTCAGACAAATGTTTGTCGCATTCTCAGTTTGACATATTTTGAGGTCATCTTTGAAGTTTCTCTTCCTGATTGATATTGCCACCATCTGAGGTAAAGCAAGTGGTAACCATCTCAGTTGTGATACCCTTTTACAAAATTCCCCCTGCATGGAAGTCTGTGTGGCACCAAAGTTATTATTTCTGTAGCACCATACAGCAAAGCATTCTAGCAGTTTTCCTAATGATATATTGTTATTTTGACATAGTATAATTTATGGGCTTAAATGCAATTGCTAATCCCCACCACTGAAGCAACTGCTGAGCAGTAAATGGACACAAATCCCACAGATTCAATATAAGGATTATTCCAGTAACGATTAGCAATAGGATTTATGTCCTATCCTTAAATTTTGTATGCTTTATCTTGTTTTTATTAATTACTCTGGAAGCACTGCTGAAGAGCAACGTTATATCCTAAACTGCAACAGAAATCCCCAGTCCCAGAAGCCCCTTGGTTAAATTGCCCAGCCACTAAGTTTAGTCTGTTCCATAACCTCTGCCCAAACACACCTGCCACTCTCTCCTCAGCTACAAAGAACAGTGGCACCACTCTCCTTAAAACATGCTGAACTGTATAAATCAATATCATAACGTGAGGACTGAGTGTCCACCCAAAACAGAACACTTCAGGAAAGTGTACCAGTTACTATGTTTATCTCTGGGACACTATAAGCAGAACTAATAATTACTGCATAAGGAATAGAAAATAATAGTTAGATTAACCATTATAATTGAGTCTGTTCTGGCCACTGATATTTTCTTTATGTCTCTCTTGTTGTTGTTTAGTCGTTAAGTTGTGTCTGACTCTATCGTGACCCCATGGACCAGAGCACGCCAGGCCCTCCCCTCTTCCACTGTCTCCCAGAGTTTGGTCAAATTCATGTTGGTAGCTTTGATGACACTGTCCAACCATCTCGTCCTCTGTAGTCCCCTTCTCTTGCCCTCACACTTTCCCAACATCAGGGACTTTTTAGAGAGTCTTCTCTTCTCATGAGATGGCCAAAGTATTGGAGCCTCAGCTTCAGGATCTGTCCTTCCAGTGAGAACTTAGGGTTGATTTCTGTCAGAATGGATAGGTTTGATCTCCTTGCAGTCCAGGGGACTCTCAAGAGTCTCCTCCAGCACCACAATTCAAAAGCATCAATTCTTCAGGAGTCAGCCTTCTTTATGGTCCAGCTCTCACTTACATACATCGTTACTGAAAAAACCATACCTTTGATTATGTGGACCTTATGTCAACAAGGAGACATCTCTGCTTTTTAAGATGCTGTCTAGGTTTGTCATCGCTTTCCTCCCAAGAAGCAGGTGTCTTTTAATTTCGTGGCTGCTGTCACCATCTGCAGTGATCATAGAGCCCAAGAAAGTAAAATCTGTCACTGCCTCCATCTCTCCCCCTTCTGTTTGCCAGGAGGTGATGGGACCAGTGGCCATGATCTTAGTTTTTTT